AAAAAAAAAAAGAAGAAGAAGAAGAAGAAGAAGAAGAAGAAGAAGAAGATGAGGATGAAGCCAGGTGTAGTGGCACACATTTGTAATCCCAGCACTCAGGAGGCTAAGGCAGCAGGATTTTTACAAATTCAAGACCAGCCTGGGCTACAAAGTGAGGTCAAGGCCAGCCTGAATTGCATAGGAAGACCTTGTCTCAAAAAGACAAAAAAAAAAAAAAAAAAAGAGGAAGAAGAAGGAGGAGGAGGAAGAGGAGAAGGAGGAAGAGGAGGAGGAGGAGAAGGAAGAGGAGGAGAAGAAGATGGGGACAAAGCCAGGTGTGCTGGCACACGTCTGTAATCCCAGCACTCGGGAGGCTGAGGCAGGAGGATCCTTGCAAGTTTGAGACCGTCCTGGGCTACAAAGTGAGCTCAAGGCCAGCCTGAACTGCATAGCAAGACCCTGTCTCAAAAAGACAAAAGAAGGAGAAGGTAGAGGAGAAGATGATGGGAACAGCAGAGGTCAGGATGCCTCATCACCATGACGACCATGTCAACAGGGAGCATCAGAGATGGAGGAAGCAAAAAAAAAAAAAAGAAGAAGAAGAAAAAACAAGAGGCCTCTGGTACCACAGCCACCTCGGCTGAAGACTGCAGGGACAGGTGACAAGCAAGGATGTCAGCACCAAGACCCTCACACCTCAGTTCAACCCGACAGAGAGACACAGGGAGTATACGCATTCTCACCTGACGGGAAAAATCCTGAACTGACTGCAGACAAACGGAATCAACAGAATTCACCCAGATGGACTGGATTAGGTTTGTGCCATGAGCAGGGGCCCTGCGGGACCCAAACAGAGGTTAAATGAGTCTTAGAAATTTAGCTGAATTTCCCGGACTCTGAAAGTGTGGCTGAAATTAAGTGTCTAATCCAGTTCTCCTTACGGTCAACACGCAGCTCCCCGGACAGGGTTGCCAGGTTGAGCAATCAAAATGCTAGGTGCGGGGCTGGGGATTTAGCTCAGTGGCACAGCGCCTGCTTGGCAAGCGCAAGGTCGTGAGTTCAATTCCGTTACCAGAAAAAAACAAAAACAAAAATGTAAAAAAATGCTAGGTGCTTAGTTCAGTTTGCATTTCAAGGAAACAACTAATTTTTAGTATAAGTACAAGGAGTGCTCACAATACATGGAGAATATTTGCTTTTTAAAATGTGTTAAAGGGGACATTGCTGAGAATCTTCCTCAAAATGCTCCCCTCGCTTCAGACACACTTATCCCATCTCTTTGCTGCTTTCTGGAGCAGCTCTGGAGTCCTCTTTTGTGAGTGTCTGCAAGAGCTGTGATTTTAAAAAAATATGGTGAATGCACTGCCAAGTGTCATCCGATAGAAAGGCAGGCTTGCAAAAAAGTAACACTGTGTCCTCATCTAGCTATTCCCTGGATCTGTCGCTGTGCAACTTCTGGCTCTCCCCCAACTCGGCACATTGAGGCAGCCCCAACAGTGCAACTAAAGACGCAACAGCTCAGAACCGCTTCAGAAGGCCGCAAGAACAATGGGATACGTGTGTTGGGTGCAAAGTATTTTCAGCTGGATTAAAGGCAGTGTGTTTTTCTGTAATAAACTTTTCTCAACTTGGCCATTCACGGTACTTTCTGATCATATCACGTACGTTCCAGGACATCTCAGGGATACACTTATCTGGAGAATTATGTCCATTTGTAATCCGAATAATCTCTGGTGTAAGTGGGTCACACGCGATGTCGGGAACACACTTACACTAAGAGATCACTTGTTGATTTGAAGTTCAAATGTAGCTGAGCATCCTTCATTTCCTGTGACCGCGCCATCCCTACGCTGGCCCCACGCTGCGAGAGCCGCCCAGGCCTGCCCGCCCCCGAAGTCAAGCACGATCTTCAATCGAGCATTTCTGAATTGACTCCCACAGCTCCCGACTCGAGGCCACCTCTGGGACTCATTTGAGAAGATGCGACTTTCTTTAGTTTCGAAGGATGCAGGACCTGGTTTTTCCCCAAAGTACATCTGCTGTCGTGGGAGGGGCCTCGGCTGTCTTTGATGCCGGGCTTTGTGTCTTCGTCGCCCATGGTCTCCTCGCGGCCAGCTGGGCACATGGTGACCTTCAGGCCAGGCCGGGGAGGCCGTGCCCGGGACAAGCTTGCAGAGGAGGGAGTGAGAGAGGCCGCCAGGGAAAAACTCTGGTCTGACGGAGAAATTCAGAGTCACCTGCAAGCCTTAGAGGCGTTAACAGTGCTTTGCAGGTGGTTTTTGGACTCGGGGCACACGGAACACAGGGTGTATTAGCTGAGGCTGGGGATCTGGGTAAAAACAGCAGCGGTAGGAAAATACCAGCTCACACTCCATAAAACCTTGTGTGACTGACTCGCCTGCTGCAAATTTGACAGTGCAAACTTGGACTCTAAAAGCCGATTCCTACAGACGAGTCATTTAATAAATCACACACTTCCGAAGAACGCCCTGTAGCAATAACTGCGGAGAGCTGAGAGAGAAAGAACCGTTGACCCATTCCAATGAAAAGGAAGACGCTGTTGCTGAGAACTGCCAGTCTGTGCAGCAAAACCGTCATGAGCTAAGTGGTTTCTTTCGGAACAAAATAAGCCCCTAAGAAGGTCTTTTCTTGATGCCTTTTAATAACGTCTTTGCCTGGGAAGGACAGCTGTCACATCTTGTGTGCTTCCACAGCTCCAGTGCCCGGTGCCCCTGAACCCCTTACGTCTGGGGTCCCCTGTGTCCTAGGATGTCCTGACGTCTCTTGGGGCCTCACAGACCCAGACAGAGACCGTGTTCCCCAAAGCGAGCTCTTTCCCGGGGTGCTGGGCAGCGCGCCTTTCACATGCACACCCCGGATCCCAAGGTGGGCCTGGCCCTGCTCTTACCTGGCTCCCGCATACCGGGCCAGTGTCTCCTCTGCCCTAAACCAGTCCAGAGCCGGTGCCAGACAGCAAGGGGCAGCCGCTCTGCCCCAGAGCCCTGCAGAAGTGCTCACAGTTGTCAGTCCTACACTGCTTAGCCTGTCCCGCCTTGCATTCCCAGGGGAACCCCATCAAGACTCTGCCTCAGTTTCCCCTTGTTCCTGTCTTTCGCTTCCTGAGCTCCCTGATAAATCTCCTGCATGGCCTGTCCTGTCAGGAAATGCGGGTGACCAATTCTTCCTTCAATTTATTTTTGTTTGTTTTGTTTATTTTGTTTTTTTCCGGTACCAGGAATCGAACTCACGACGTTGCGCTTGCCAGGCAGGCGCTGTGCCGCTGAGCTACATCCCCAGCCCCTCTTCCTTCAGTTTTATGGCCTCCGCACACTGTCACTCAGCCACACCTCTACGGATTAAACATGGCATAAATTCAATACAGTAATTTGCTTGCTTCTATAATGACCTCCTAGAAAGGCAGAGGAGAAAGCATACAGGAGTTAAACATCTCACCCAGGTCACTCTGCTGGTAAGCGGGGTTCAAACCCAGCTCTGGCCCCAGAGGCAGGAGCCTAACCATGGCGAAACAATGCAGGTCCTCCTGCCCAGCACCACCGCCGCCTACAGCGCTGTGCCTCAGGCCCTCTGTCCAAGCCACGCACCAAGGCCAAGTCCCTTCATCCTCAGCCCTCACGACTCTAAATCCTGGTGCGATCTCATCGGCGTCTGCCGTTCCGGGCGGCACAAAGCTCCGCTCCTTTGCGGGGACCACGTCTGCCTTTGCTCACAGGGCTCTGCCCCCAGCAAATGGTCCAGCAATCACGGGTTGAAGGTGCTGTAGCTGTCAAGTATGGAGTTAAAAAGAGGATTCCAGAACAATAAGCTTCTCTACCTAAACAGACACAGACACGCTGCCAACGACAGAGCGTATATTCAACAGCGGCCACCAAGATTACATCACCTGGTGCCACCTCAGCCATCCTCCCGTGCTGTTTGCGTGGTTTCTGAGATCACGTCCTCACTGGGAAGCAGCATGCTACGTCTGATATGTATGGACATCCATAGAAAAAAGCCTCTTCACAAAGAAAATGTAATCCCAGCTCTCGAGAGGCTGAGGCAGGAGGAGCCTTGCAAGTTCGAGGCCAGCCTGGGCTACAAAGTGAGCTCAAAGTCAGCCTGAGCTGCATAGTGAGACCCTGTCTCAAAAAGACAAAAGAAGATGGAGGAGGAGGAGGAGGAGCAGAGAAAGACAGTGGAAAGACAGGAAAATTTGTCTATTTTCCTCTTTGTCATTTATCACATTTTCTGTAAGAAACAGCTACATAATGTATGGGCCACATCTGTTTTTAAGTATTAAAGAAACTGCTTCCCAAGGAAGTAGCAGAGGTTGCATTGCTCCGATTTTATTTCAGACAGGAGCAAAACTACAAACGGCAACCAGCGAATGGGACGCGGTGCGTGCAGAATCCATGTGCATGAGGCGGTCGAACTGCAGAACATAAAGCTAGTAGGGCTCGATAAGGGACGCACTGAAGTGTGACACGGAACAGACCCACGCAGGAGGAAAGGCACCGTCTCAGGACCCAGGCTGCCCACGTCTGACTTCTGGGTCCAACACCTCACTAGCTATGGGCCTTCGTCCAGCTGTCCAGCCACGCTCAGCCCTCTCTGTGGAGACAAGGATGATGTCAGCATCTCCTCCCCATCTGAAGGTGTGCTTTAAATGTGTTAATATGCAAAGTTCCTAACACGGTAGTACCTAAATGTAAATGCGGTATAAATATTTGTCAAATGAAATAGAAAGCAAGAACTAAAAGCAATGACAGCTATAAGCATGGACATACAATGCAATGGAAAGCTGCTTTGAACATCCTAAATAATGGAGTCTTGTTTTTATAAAATAGTAATAAATAGATTCGGTCCTAAAAGATACGACCTTCTAACCCAAAGTCCCATAAATACCGAACAACTCCTCAATCCCGGCTCCGACAAGTATGTGTGGCTTTAAATTGAGGGAAGGCTGGGGGTGGTGGTGCACGCCTGTAATCCCAGCACTCGGGAGGCTGAGGCAAGAGGATAGCTGCAAGCTCGAGGCCAGCCTGGGCTACATAGCGGAACCCTTTTATTGTTTAAAAAAAATAAAGTACAATATACACTAAAGGAGGCAACGAACATTTCTACAGGCAGTAAAAAGAGCAAGACACTTGGATCTCCTTTAAGAAAACCTACTTTAGGCTAGGGGTATAGCTCAGCGGCACAGCACCTGCCTGGCAAGCACAAGGTCATGAGTTTGATTCATGGTACCAAAAAAAAGAAGACCCACTTTGAGCAGAGTGCCTACAGCTGAACTCCGACACATTGATGTGCATGTTTGCTTAGCTTCCTCAAAATATGCAACCCCAGGGCGCGTCTCATACCTACCACTAGGGGTCTCCAGTTCATTTTTCCAGGACTTTATGTAAAAAATAGCTCTGCGTGGTCTGAGCACATTATTCTCATTCTCCCAGGCACAAAGACAGACTGTTTCAAAGGGCTGGGTGGGAAGAAAGAGAGTCATGACTTGTGAAGCTGCTGCAGCTCCCGGACCTTGGCTGCCTCTTTAGGGGACTCGGCCAACCAGCTGGGCTCACCCAGCCGCGCGCACACACAGCACCTCCTGCCCGCGGCCTCATCTTCCGTGCCAGCCCATTTTAAACCTAATGAAGCCACCCCTAAATCCCTCTACCCATGACACTGGGCCCAGACCTTCGATTCTGGAAATTACCCAAAAGAACCACACAGTGAACCAGAAAAGGAAGTATTTTGTGAGGACCAACTTTCAGACTATGATTAAGTGGCCTAGCGGCACAGCCCTAAACTGCAGTTAATTACCTCGTGTTCTAAAAGCATTTCACTTCATACAGCTTCGCCTTCTTTGTCTTTTCCGGGAGGCAGTGTTTCCCACAGAAATTTACACACACAAGGGTCTAGAAAATCAAGTCCCAGACTAAGTGAATTAAGTCTCTAATATTCTTCTAGAGCCCCTGAGAATAAAAGTGTTTAAGAAATATTCGTTAGTTAAGGTTAACATTCATTATGTTAAGGTTTGGTGCCCCAAAGAGATAAAAATGACCCATAATATAAAGTCAAGGACTAAAGGGAAGTGGGACTGGATTCTGTACACAAAAAGCCACGTTTTTTGCATCTTTTAAAAGCATATTAAATGCGCGAGAACACAACTGCCTACCATGTAAATTAATGCAGATTCTACATTGTTTTATCTGAATTGATTCCAAGATTTGTTCCCGTTTTGGAAAATCACAATCCAACAATAATATTGCACGTGATGTGAGTTGTTTGTTTGTTTTGGTGGGGTTTTGCAGGGGCTGGTACTGGGACTCGAATCCAAGGCCTTCGCTTTGAGCTACAACCCCAACTTTTTAAAACATTTTTTGAGAGAGGATCTCACTAAATCTCTTAAGTTGCCCAGGCTGACTTTGTGTACAGAGGCACCATGTTTTCTATTGGAACTATGTCTGAGAAATTACACATTGAAATTCATATTGTTTTATAATAAATTACTTTCTTATATTGGTTACAGTAGAGGGTTGTATTGATTTGTAAAACAGATTTTTATATTGCAAAGTGACTATGAAATTAGTAATTGAGCCGGGGATATAGCTCAGTGGCACAGCGCCTGCCTGGAAAGTGCAAAGTCGTGAGTTCAATTCCCAGTACCAGAAAAAAAAAAAAAAAAGAAATCAGTAACTTGAAATATACATGCACTGGAGACACAAAGGCAGAGAGAGGTGTCAGAACAGAAAGGCTTGGAGTCGTATCACACAATGAAAAGTGCTTCCCCAGAAAGAGAAGCAGAATTAACCTTGATGTTCCCCCTCTGATTTTTTTTTGTTTGGTTTTTTTTCCGGTACTGGGAATCAAACTCATGACCTTGCGCTTGCCAGGCAGGCGCTGTGCCACTGAACCAAACCCCCAGACCCCGATGCTTTTTTTAACCTTTAAAATTATGGACACTGGAGATTTCAGTGACTGAACTATAGAGCAGCAGCGATTCTTGGAAGTCACCTGGCCCCAGCCCTCTTGTAGACAGGAATCGGAGGCCCAGGGAGGTGCAGGGACTTGAGCAGACAGACCCCCAGGAGCTTTTCACACACTCACTCTTCTAGTCCTATGATGTTTGTCAGCTGAGTGTGAGGACCATTTCTTGGCGTGTCTGGAGGCCATGAGGAGGCCCACAGAGGCGTGGGCCATTCCTTCTTCCACAGAGCTGCCACAGGAGTTAAGAGGCAAAATAGCTGCAGATGAACCTCAAGACACACACACACTGCCACACTACGCATAGTGGGGCACATACCTGTAATCCCAGAACTCGGGAGGCTGAGGCAGGAGGATCACCACAAGTTTGAAGCCAGCCTGAATCACACAGTAAGACCCTGTCTCAAAAAAAAAAGAGAGAAAGAAAGAAGAAAAGAAACACACACTGCCTGCCGGTCACACAACATAACATCACCAGCAATGATCAGCAGAAAGGTAATGACCCGAGCCAAAGATAAAGGACTCGAAGATGATGCTTAGGTGGGGGGAGAGCAAAAAGGACCAAGATTCATTATGTGTACGAACCAAGTCCTCGTGATGCATACATTTATCATGCACCACAAATATGTACTGATATAAAAGAGAAAATCTGATATATAAAAGTTGACATATATATATGAAAATCTGATATGAAAGCTTCAGGGTTGATATCTTTGTACGGAAGAAAAACATATGCTCAGTGTTTTTATTTTTTGTTTGTTAATTTGAGACAGGGTCTTGCTATGTAGGTTAGTCTTCAGCTTACTGTGTAGCCCAGGCTGGCTTTGAACGTGTGGCAATCCTCCTGCCTCAGCCTTCTGAGTGCTGGGATTATAGGATGCACCACGAGCATGCTTTGAAAATCATACTTTGCACTTGGCTGTCCCACTCATGCCTGTAATCGCTATTACTCAGGAGCCCGATGTACGAAGGTCTCAAGTTCGAGGCCAGCCTGGGCAACACAAGACTGGGCTGGGAATGTCGCTCAGTGGTAGAGTGCTTGTCTAGTTTGTGTACATTCCTGGATTTAATCCCCAGTCTCACATGGGAGAAATGTCATATTCTGGGTAAATGTAATTCTTTTTCCTCAAAGTGATGTTAAAAATAAAGTCAGCAGCATTGGACTGAAACACGAATCGGAATCTCTTTCTGTACGCTGGCCGGACCACCCAGTCCGCTAAGTGACAACGGGCTGCTGCCTCATACACCACAGCCCTGGCGTGTGAACGCCGCCCACTGGCTTGCTGACGCGGATCACGGTGCCTCATCAGGCAGCACAGATTCATCGAGAACCTCTACACCTATGCCAGCCAGCGGGTGTGACTGGGCCAAGGACGCAGATTCGATCCCAGCTCTCTCGGGACTTCGAGAGGGAACGAACAGGAAACCAGGTCACAACAGGAAATGAACGGAGAGAACGTAAAGGGCGCAGATGGCCCGGTCTGCTCCCAGGAGACCAAAGTGGTGGAGAAAAGGCAGGAGGCAGCCCGGGGCCAGCGCGGCCCAGGGGCAGCCTGATGGACGCTAGGACAGGACCGGCGGGGAGGGGGTCCGAGGAGCTGGCTTTCTCTGTGACACCTCGAGGGGGCAGACGGCAAGTGCAGTGAGGACACCAAGTGAGAGCTTCCTTCTGTGCCGGGTAGCTGTGGCCCAGCCGCCCTGAGCCTCCGGCTCCTGAGCTGTACCGAGGGGTGGAGTCCTTAGCCCAGGCCTGTCCTCAGGGAGACCTCAGTCAGTGAAAGCCTGGCTGTCCAGGGCCAGCACCATGGCGAGGAAACTCTCAAGGAAGAAGAGGCAAGGAGCCCGCTCTCACCTCTCTGCAGAGAAAGACAGCAGGGCCGCCCGATGCCAGCCAGGTGGGCCGGAGATGGGGGTCACCGCGGGCTCCGGGCGGTGCCCCCACAGGTTGCTCTGCGGGGTGAGCAGGAGTCAGGGCCAGCAGAGCAGAAAGGCGGGTATCACGTGGGCACCCGGTGTCCCGGCCAGCTGCAGATGCAGGGGCGGCCCGCAGGCCAGCGCGCTCCGCAAGGGACTGGGTGTGTCACACGCAGCCAGCTGGCACGCCCTGCAGCTCCTGCGCCCACTCCCCCCTCACCTTCTCACCAGCTTCACAGCAGACGCACCTCAGGGACCCTCGACCCCGCAGCCCCTCCCCGCCTCACGCCGCCCGCGAGCTGAGGCAGAAGCGTCTGGTTCCCCGGCAGCCGCTTCTTTCCTCAACTCAGTGAAGGATGATAAATAACAGCGGCCACACAGCAGCAGTGCACCAGGTACCACTTTAAATTCCCCCTTTGTGTTTCTTTCAGTATTGGGAATTGAGCCCACGGCCTGTGTACTGAGCTACATTCCAAGCCATTCATGCATTCATTCGTTCGTTCATTTATTCATTCATTCATTCATTCATTCATTTATGCATTATTTTGAGACAGGATCTTGCTAAATTGCCCAGGTGGGACTTGAACTCACAAAGACCCTCCTGCCTCAGCCTTCCAGAGTGCCCGGATTACAGGTGTGCCCCAACTCAGCCAACTCATTTTAAATGCTCGATGTGTATTACTGGATCTCTTCATCCTCACCCAGCCTTCAGGGGGAGGTGCTCTTCACCCCATCCTCATTTTACAGCGGAGGAATTGGGGCACAAAGAGCTTCAGTAAGATCAAGATCACCGGCTCGGGAGGATCACAGCCAGAACCATGGGTCGAATCCAGCACCACTGCCCTCCGTCAGCCTCCTACCGCCAGAAGGAGGGGTGTCCTTCCAGGGCAGGAGGTGGACTTCGCTCTACCATTGTCAGGCTAAAGAGGAACTTTCTGCACCCCAGAACACTCATTACACAACCATCCACTTTGTGAATAAAATCACCACTGGGTGTGTTCAACTGCATTTACACCCTGAGCCCCGCAGCAAGATCACCATGAGGACCGGGATGTAGCACCGCAGGACTGGGGGCCTTGCGGAGCCAGCCACACACGCCTCTGATTCTGACCGCACCCACACGGCGCGCCCAGGAAGTGCACCCCAGACACCTCAGCCGCCCATGGTCACCCCGCTTCCTCACCCACCAACACCCAGCCCTGGCAGTCAGACACTGCCCGGCTCCTGGCCCCACCCTGCAGGAGGAGCGTGAGCCCCCAAGAAGGAAGCCGGCCCTGCTGGGCTTGCTGAACACCCGTGGGTGTCCAGGTGACACAGCTGGTGCTCACCTCGCTGCTCCAGCGCCTCTGTCCTGCAGACTTTGTCCTAGCCAGTCCCCTCAAGTACCTGCAAGGCGTGCTTTTATATTATCCACACTTTACAGATAGGAAAAAATCGGGCCACAGTTAAAATAACTCGCCTAGGGCCACACACAAGTGGGCAGTGGAGCAAGCTCCCCAGCTGCTCCCTGAGCAGAAGGGTGCACCGCCCCCTCACCCAGGACTGTCACCGCTGCTGGCTCACACCTGTATCTCACTGTCACTAGGGTGGGACTCGGCACGTCTTTCCAGCCTGGTCCCTTCTGGCACCAGTGCCTCGCGTCTCCGTCCATGGCCTGGTCACTCACCCTCAGCCCCCTCCCCCTCCAGCCCCAGGTCCAGCTCCTGGGTGGGTCCTGCACCCACCCACCGGTATGGCCCTCTTCCAACCACTGTCACCACCATCTCGTTTGGACCATTTTTGCAGTGGTGTCTCAGAGCACCTTCCACACCTCCGCTGATTCTGAGCCGTCAAAGCCTTCCCTGCCTAGGCGAAAGCCCTCCACCAGCCCCTGGTCACACTTAACAAGAGCCAACCCCAACCCCTGCTGCATGTTCAAGGCTCCCTGCCCCCTCGCTGGGCCGTGCTGGCCCTGCCCTCGGGAGCTGCAGCCTTAGCGGAGCCTCCCCCGCCGAGGGGCTGCTCTCTGCCCATCTCCCCATGGCGTGTCAGGAAGCTGTCCCTGGAGAGTGGCACAGACAAGGTGGCTGCCTGTCCCCCAAAATGCATGCTGCCCGTGACGGAGGGTGACGATACGATTCCTCCTGCAGCCACATCCTTGCCAAGAGAATGTGAGGGAGGTGACAGGTGTCACAGGCAGGCTGGGGTGACCCCTTCTCACTGTCTCCTCCCCAGCCCAAAGGGAAGAACGCTGAAGCGCTAGGCCACACCAGCCTCAGGACACGAAGACCATGCGTCCCCAGACCGGCACACGCAGGGCGACCGCTGTTGTCCAGCAGGGGCCAGAGACTGTCGCTGGAGCGGGAAGCCAGCTTCTGCCGGGAAAGACACTGAACAGGACTCCGCTGACAGAGCAGCTGGAGTTGCCTTGAGAGCGGTCCCTGACTGCACCCCTGCACGGCTGCCCTGTCACGCGCCCCATCGCTCGGCGTGGTGCTCATCACTATTTGTAAGGTGCCTTTTTAGTTGGTATCCGCCTCTCCCACCTCGAACCTAACACCCCTAGGAGCTGGGGCCTTATTTCTCCGGCTTCCTCCTATATTCCCAGACCCCCAAGAGTGACAGGCGGAACAGGCAACTGTGAGAACTCTGCGGGGATGAGGGGTAAACAAACACGCTCAGTAAACAGCCAGAAATCCTGGGAGAGTCCCCCGGGGTTTACGTGCCTCGCCGCCTCCTCCTGTCCTCCAGCCCTTCAAAGCCCCAGACAACCCTCTTCAGAACCCACCCGCCTGACCGTTCGTGCGCACACTCTGCCTCCCTCTCTGCAGCAGCATCTCACTTCCACAGCTTCTGCTCACTCAGTTCGCCCTGTCCTCACCCTGCCTGAATAACAGGAGAGCCCCCAGGCTGCAGGCGCGGAAGGAGGCGCAAAGAGAAACCCTGGCTCTGTGAAGGGGGGTGGACCACAGATGGCCGGCACAGCACGAGGTTTGCACTAGAGCAGAGACACTCATTTCGAACTCCCAGGCGTCCTGTGAGCTGACACAAAAGCTGGTTACCTTACTGCGTTCGTTTCTGCGCCGCAGCCCTGGGCTCAAGTAAGGAATCGCGGGCCTAACGTCATGGCTTCCTCAGTGCTCCCCTGGGATGAGGCACCAGCAGCTCCCCTGGCTCTGCTTTTGGACACGATTCACCCAGCTGGTAGTCAGAGTGGATTTCCTACGGCCACATTCCCCAGACAAGAGCAAAACAGACGTGCAAGTGGGAAGAGAATTTACTTCGCTAATCAAGGGGTGGAATGTAGCCAAGGATGTTTACCCAGGATGAAGGGAGAGGAAAGACACTCCCTGTGTACATTTTGTCTCTAAGAGATGGGACATTCTAGTCTCAGTGTTGGTCTCAGTTGGTTTCAAAGAAGTCTTGACCCTCGGGCTTGAGCTGAGTCAGGTCCAATCAGGACAGCAGAGAGACAGTGACTGAAGTCTCTCTTCTGAAGGCCCTTCTAAAGAGCTACATAGATGCTAGGGTTGCCCAACAGGAGCCTGGGGCTACATCCAGGGCCCAAGACCTGGGGGGGACACTCTCACACTCACCCCATCCACAGCCTTGTGCCTGCCCCGCTCACTCCACCACCCCCAGGCTCCTGGTGTGACGTCACCTTGGAAGTGAGTAGAAAACAGAAATACTCAGGCACCAAGAATCCCCATCAGCCCTGACGAGCACAGAATAGGGAACTAAATCACCATCGCAGTCAGTGGCTCACTGAGAGTGAGCCTGCTCCTCCACCAGGCTGTCAGCTGGGAATGCTGCAGAAACAGAATACCTTTGACCTGGCAGGAGCATCATGCAGCCGACTGTTTTAGATTCTGGTGAAAAGCTGCTGGACACCCAGGGGATTCTCAGGTCCACAAGGCTCCAGCCTTGTGCCTTACACAGCTGTGACTCGTAAATACACGTCTAGTGATTTTCACTGGTGTGGTATCAAAGCTAGGGCAGCTCCCAGATCTGTCTACTCACTGTTGAGTATTTAGTGAGTACATATTTGGGCACAAACTGTTGAATGAATGAATGAAATAAAAATGCATTGTCCTGAATTCAGATTCAGCAAAGGAAGACAATCAGTCTGAAAACCCATCAAAATAGAAACTTTAAGCCAGGCTATCAGTTATTTCAGAAGAACTCCATCTTCATCGATGTGAATTAGGAGTCAATGCTTTCTTAAATTATCCCTCCAGCAAATTAGAATGGAAGGTTTTGGTGTTGTGCCCTTCTTGTTTCTTTGTGATCTGTTCAGTCTAACCTCAGCCAAGCGGCAGAGTGCCCTGTTGAAACGTCGCAGAGGAGGGTGACTGATCTGCTCAAAAGCAGTAAAAGCCATGTGGTGTTGCATGTCTGTCATCCCAGTGAGCGACTCAGGAGGCTGAGGCAGAAGGATTACAAGTTCAAGGCCAGCCTGGGCAATTTAGAGATCCTGTTTCAATATCAAAAAAAGGGCTAGCCAGACGTGGTGGCACACACCTGTAATCCCAGCACTCGGGAGGCTGAGGCAGGAAGATCGTCGTGAGTTCAAGACCAGCCTGGGCTACAAAGTGAGTTCAAGGCCAGCCTGAACTGTGTATCAAGACCCTGTCTTAAAAAGACAAAAAAAAAAAAAAAAGGGGGCTGGAGATATAGTGGAGATACAGAGCACTCTCTGGGTTCAATCTCCAGTACCAAAAAAAGAAAAAAGTATGAACTCCTTAGTCCCTGCAATGACCCACACCATCAGACCAGACAGACTTATGTTCCACCCCCAGCCCCATCCCAACCTCTGACTCCCTACCATTGCCTGGTCCCTCCTGTCCCTCCAGCCTCGGGGCCCCGTCTGTCCTTCCAGGCCCTATCTGCACAGCTGTCCCCTCTGGTTCAGAGTATTCACCTAAGGTCACGTTGGCACGGAGGGTGCCCCTTGCTCCCAGCTGGCTGCTGTCCTTCCGATGTCCAGTTCTGCCCTCGGAGGCACCTTGCACACCACACACTACAATTTCTTCTCTTTGCTACCTGTGTCCACAGCACCAGCTCCGCACAGGCAGGGATTTTCACCTCCTTTGTTCGCTGTGGTTTCCCCCGTATCTAACACAGTTCTTGGACCACAGCAGGTAAAAAATCAATGAATAAAACATGTAACTGTGAAAAAAAAAAAAAAAAACATGTAACTGTGATGATCCACACAACCAGGGCTAGGGTCTTCATGACTTCCTCTCAAGAACAAATTTTAAAAATTAAAACTCTGCCAAGCTCCTTTCAAAAGGGGGGGAATGCTATCAATCTATACATGTGTTATCTATGGCTCGTTATTAGGACAATGATTTGAAACTTGAAAGAAAAAAAAAATTCAATTTTTTTTTCAATTGAACTGGACACACTATTCAGAAGCACACGGTATACAACACTGTTTCCAAATGGCAAAGCAAACAAAGCCCTGTTTTTATATAGCTAACCCCTGAGGGTTTATTTAATTATTGTATTTTCTTTTTTCTTTTTTTTTTTTTTTGTACCAGGAATTGAACTCAGGACCTTGTGCTTGCCAGGCAGACGCTTGTGCCGCTGAGCTACATCCCTGGCCCTAATTATTGTACTTTCATCAGGTCCAACAATTGCGAAAAAGTTGATTAGATCCCTCACCCACTCTGAATTACTTCAAATTAGAAACTAGGTGAGAAATCGTCTATGCACCAAAAAAAATAAAATAAAATAAAATGCACTGACTGCAAGTATACAACTCAGTGGTTTTTGCTATATTCACAAGGTTGTACAAACATCACTGCTCTTGAATTCCAGAACATTTTGGGCACCCCAGAAAGAACGCCTGTACCATGCAGAGTCCCTCTCTGCTTCCTGCTCATCCCCAGCTGCCGGCAAGCCAACTGTGTCTATGGATTCCTCTCCTCAAAGCCTAGCCTTTTTAACACAGGACCTAGGCGTTTCTCCTGTACTCTTACACACACTGCCTGAGCCTCATGCTGTATTAGCCCCGTACACTGTCATCCTCTTGGCATGAGATCCAGACCCACAGGAGGTTGGTGGACCAGATGGCCTCCAGTGCTATGTGCCAGCCAGGGTGTGATGGCAGAGAATGACCTCTCCTTTTAAGCTGCTGTAGGTTCATTTCAAACCACAAAACTCTTACAGAAGATCTGGGGGACTCAGGGGGGAAATCCTGAGAACCGTCTCCTTCTAGGGAGGAGACAGGGAGGAACACCACAGGCCACCCAGCTCCCTTCTGCATGGCTGTGGTGATGAACACGGTCTGTCACCGCCCAGCTGGGCAGAAGCACGGAACCTGTTGTGCAGGAGCCTGGGTGAACCCGTGCAGGGTACACTGGGTACAGGAACGCGCGTCTTCACGGCCCACGTCACTTTCCTAGGTTCTGGTGAGTATCTGAACGTGATTGGTAGTGAGCCGAGGGTCTATGTGGAAGCTCTTTATAAACTACAGCACACTGTGCAAATTCCTTCTTTATATTCTCGAATGTAGACCAGCCTCCGCCACCTGTCCCAGATCCCTTCCCCAGGCGTCGCCTGTGGAAAACCAGCCCATTTCTCTGAGCTTTCCCCCATCCAGGCGCTGCCTGTAGAGACCTAGTCCTGCTAGTTTGTCACCTTGACTGGGCAAAGGAGGATGAAAGACAAACAGCCACAGAGTCAGTTTAGCATATGGGCAGCCAGGGGGCTCTTGCCTCTAGAAGCCAGAGGAACCCCAGGTATCTGGCTCATCCTGCTTTTTTGCACTCAGACATGGGTATAAGCAGTTAAAGTAATCCAGGATGCATCCGCCTTCCACTGGCCATTAGTACACAATCAGGTAAACAATCTGATCTCAGCTGTATTAACCTGCAACACCATCATCTCTGAGTGTTGCTTTTTTCTCCTTTGTGCTTATAGAGGAAGCCAATTAGGCCCCAATTTTCTTCTGGTCTCCACATTCAGGTCTAATTTCTTCTCCTTCGAGTCACTCCTTCCTCTTTGGGGATCCCTAGACTAACTTGGACGTACAGGAGGAAAAGGTGGGTCGTCTGTCTTCTGGGAGTTCACGGCCTTCTTGAGGGCACCAGAAGGAAGTGCGTGAAGTGACAGAAAAGCTTTATGCTCCCCAGGGATGGCCTCCGAGGGGCCGCTCTCACAGGAAGGGCCGGGCACAGAGTGAGGGCGGGGAGGCAGACGTTCCACATTTGGGGGATCACATTTACCAAAGTCAGGCTGTTGTGCTCGAGCCCCACTAAAACGTGAGTGATTCTTTCTTACCTGAGAACAGAGCCTAGGCTGGAGCTGCCGCTGTGCGGTTAAATCAAGTTCCATATCCTGTGTGGCAGATCTTTCCAAGACGTCAAAAGCTCTGTTTGACTTCTTGGGAATAACACATGCTTGCACCTCTCAGCAAACCCTTCAGGATAGAAACATGCAAAGCTGAGCTGCTAGTCTTCATAGTCAAAAAGATGTTTCCTCTGACCCAGCTGTTCTCCTTCTAGGTATCGTCCCAAAAGTGAAAGACATAATATTACAGTGATCCATGCACACCCAAGTTTATAGCAGCACAACTCATAATAACTAACCCTTGGAAGCCACCTCTATGTCCACACAATGGAATATGGAATACTACTCTGCCATAAAGAAGGATAAACTTGAATCATTAGTAGGAAAATAGGTATACCCATCAGACATACACGCTTAGATATCACATCGTCTCTCTTATGGGAGAAACCCCACCTATAAATAAAGTGTAATGTAACAGACTGACAATAAAGAAAAAGGTTTTTGTAATCCAGCATGGCCAATGTATCTAAATGTATACCTGGATGTAGTATAATTGTTTCTCGTATTTTACACTTTAAAAAAATTTTTTTGGTCTGTTAGTCTGGCTGTTAATCTGTGTTTATGATAATTAATTTGATAAAGACACAAAATAAATAAATCTGATGCTGACAAAAAAGATGTGTTATATTCCTGTACCAACTCCCCACAACGAAGGTAAACATGTTTTGTAAACACCTACTAATAAAAATAAAATTTAAAAAGGTCTCTGAAGATCTTAGCTTTGCCGATTTGCATAAGGTTATTGTAAACACCCGGGAAGGACCGGCCCCTCGGTTTCTGCGTCTCCCTTCCGCAAAGGCATCACGCTGCACGGCCTGCTCTGTGTGTAAAGGAAGGAAAACTGCAGGCAAACAATGGAGGCTTTCCCGTGGCAGCTGTACACGGCACCCTGCTTAGGATGCAGTTACTCCATGGCCTTAGAAGACAAGACTGAAAGAAAGACTTGCTACATATATCCTGCCATCTATTAGCTTGGTGTGAATTTTTCTGTTTCAACATTATACAGTGTGTGTGTGTGTGTGTGTGTGTGTGTGTGTGTGAAATGCTCTAATACAACCCTGTGAGAACCACAGGTACAACTGCAGTTCTGGCAAAATAAGGGGGAAGGCAGACAATTAGATAATCTCTGAGGTTCTCTCCGGGTCCAAATTAATTCCAAACCCACTGCCTAATTAAAGTCGGAGTATTCTGGACAGCAAAAATACCTTCCTCTTGCTAAAGAGACAGAGAACTGAGGTTTGCTTTTGCGGGGGGTGGAGGTTGTTATCAACATATGTACAAAAGGAAAGATAGGCTAGGTTAGTCTGGCAGGGCCAGTTAATTATGGAGGTACAAGGGGTGTATCTCGTTACTCCCATAATTAAACTAGTCTGCCCCATGGTTCAGGTTAGAGCCAGAGTAGACCCAGAGGCCATAGCCTGACCAAGGTCAGCTTCAAGATCTTCCATAAAACTTGGGATGACCTTACAGTCTAAGAGCTGACCTTCACCTTCACCTACTAAAGTCAGGTATCTCCATGGACCCAACAAATATTTCTAAGAGTCGAGAATATAAATGGGTAGCTCTGCATTGCCTTCCAATAACTACCAGCTGTCTATCTGGCCCATCACTAGCTGTGGAATGTGATTTTTGGAGCTATAATGAGTAATTAAAAGAATAAAATCCAGGGGCTGGGGATTTAGCTCAGGGGCAAAAGCACCTGCCTGGCAAGCGCAAGGTCGTGAGTTCAGTTCCTGGTACCGGAGAAAAACCAAAATAAAAAATAAAAATTAAAAAGAATAAAATCCAAAAGGGAGGGAATTTAGCATTTTTAAAATAACCCCCCAATTCTGTACTTTCTAATTCAGACATTTAGTCCTCACCTATACATTCAAAGTGTGAATCAGCAAATCTGAGATCTTCAGAGACCTTTTTTTCATTTTAATTTTTATATATTTTTCATTTTGGGGGGGATTTCAGGAATCGAACTTAGGACCTGCACTTGCTAGGCAGGCACTTGTACCACTGAGCTGAATCCCCAACCCCTTAAAACAAGCTGATCATTCAATAATACTCAAAATAGAAAAACTATGAAGAATATCATGAAGAAATACGGTGAACATGATCCAACTGTAAGAGAAAGGCTCCTTCGTGAGTACACTAGTGACCGTTAATCACTAGTAAAAGAGATTGGTAGAATAGTAATATTAGCCACATTTCAGACATTAGCCAAATGCATACACTTTTCAGGAACCCATCTTCCACGGTAGCTCTTCATCCTGTGACCAATACAATCCAGGTGTGGATTTAGGTCACCGATGGCAAACCTTTTAGAGTTTTCAATAATAACAAACAGCATCTGTGGCATGCGTGCCATAGGTTCGCCATTCCTGGTTTAGGTATCTCACATGGGTTTCTATTCTCCAGGTGACTGCCAGCCACCTAGCTTGTAGAGGAAACAGCTTGGCAGTACTCAGTAATTTGCCATAACTCCTAAAACTTGGAACGGAAAAGGCCAGGATCCGAGGACATGCGTGGAGCCCGATTCTAAAACTCCCAGCCTATAGCAGGTGTTCGTTGCCGTCTGACACTGACTCTGCTCATCCCAACGCTCCATTCCAGTCACTACATTCCCAACTCCACCTACGTCAGCTCCCCAAAGCATCCCGTTCTCTGGGGATCTTGACGGAGTCAGACATAAGCCTCCCACCCAGGTCGGGCTCATCAGAGGCAGGATGGCTCATGCAGGATGCTAAGCCAGTTCTGCAAGATCTGAACCCGAAGCTGCTGTAGCCGTCGTCCTCCCAAGAGGGAGCCATGGAGGAGCTGAGGCAGCGTCAGCACAGCAGCCCAGGCTGAGAAACCCGCGAGACCAGAGCCCCGCGGTGTCGCCCCGCCCTGGATTTTGCAGTGATCCAAGCTACGAGGTCCCTCTTTGGAGGAGCCAGTTTGAGTTACTTGTAGCCTGAAGAGTTGTGACTGATGACAGTGTTTTTGTCCGGAATGATGCAGCTCAGAGGCTCCTAGGCAGGGGCTCCTGTGGCCAGCACAGGAGAGCTCCCCCCACCCTCGGCGCTGAATGTGAATGACTTGTGGGTGAGCAAGGTCTGGTTCACACCCGCCCACCTGCTCCCTATCGTGTTACAGCTCTGTTTGCCTGCTGGGTACAGGGAGCATTTCAGAATGAGCCACCTGCCACACCACAGTAATTAGCCCTTCCACGAGCAGTCATAGCACTTGGGGTCACTGAGTCTTTTGAGTATCTGACAAGACACAGGTCATCATATTACCACCCTCCCAGCTGTGCACATAAGTCTGCTTTTCATATTATTGTAGGGGTGTCACAGATGCCCTGCTCTGACATTGCTCTTTCCTTTTTAATCTGGCCTATGCCCACAAGACACTGTTTTCAAAGGTAAGGGCAACTGCTGGGCGTGGTGGCACAGACCTATAATCCCAGCACTGGGTAGGCTGAGGCAGGAGGATCGACATGAGTTCCAGGGCAGTCTGGGCTACACAGTGAGTTCAAGGTCAGCCTGAATTACAGAGCAAGATCCTGTTTTAGGAAGAAGGTGTCGGGGGTGGGGGGGGGTAAGGAAAGGAAAGGAAAGGAAAGGAAAGGAAAGGAAAGGAAAGGAAAGGAAAGGAGGAAGGGCAATCATTCCCTATGTAGAGGCAAAATGACCTCAGGCAATGCTTGGCAAGTGTTAATGTGCATGCAGAACTTCCAGTCATCTTGTTACAGTGTAAACTTGACTCAGTAGTCCCGGAACCAAGCCCGGATCCTGTGTTTCTAACAAGTCTCCAGGTCTGCACCCTGGAGTAAAAGTGAAGGGAATCGGGAGGGACCTTAGAATCAGAGGGCTCTGGGTGGTTCAGTTCTCATACCGGTCCCTTAGTAATCATGTACACTGCTAAGTCACCTAAGCACGGTACAGCAGCTTTAACATGCTCCTCTGCAGAGTCTAAATTATAATATCTACCTTGCAGGGCTCAATCTTAAAGATCAAATGTGATAACATCCACACATCACCAGCCAATTTTTTTTTTTTTTTTGAGACAAGGTCTCACTATGTAGCCCAGACTGGCCTCCAACCCATGGCGATCCTCCTGCCTCAGCCTCCCCAGTGCTGGGATTACAGGTGTGTGCCACCACAATGAAGAAAAGCTAGTCCTCTTCCCTTTGCTCAGGGGATCTCAACCTTAGCACTGTTATGAGCAGCAGGAGCCCCAGCCTCTACCTACTGGAGGCCAGCAGCTCTCTCTCACTTGCTATACCAAAACTGTCTCCGGACAGTTGTCCCTGTGGGTAGGACACAAAAGCAGCCCTGATCAAGAATCTTGGCTCTGCGTCCACAAGTTAACTACCTGTATCTTCTCTGAGCACCTTATCTTCCTAAACAACCCTTCCTGGTCCATTCTTAGCTCCTATTTTGTTTCAGAAATCTTCAGAATGGAACAATACATGTTACAGGAACACAATAATAATTTTAAACACTCAAGTATTTTCAATCACTTAAAAACTCCTTTCCTAGGAAGATGCAGAACATTAACCTGGTGTGGATACCTGACTTAGCTCTTTCTCTGCTTACTAATCCTACATTAGATAACACCACTGCCCCGCTTCACAGACGCAGAAACGGAAGTTCAGGCAGGATGGGCAGCACCTCCGGAAGAGCTCAGGCGGTGAGTGGAGAGCGCCAGTCCGCCTTGCTCCGCCCACAGCAAACACAACGCAGTGCTTCACCGCACAGGCAAGACCCTGGGCCACAAAGACGTGTAATCCGTGGACAGACGCTGCTCCCGTAAGCGGTACTGTAATAAATAGGTGGCAATGTAGACACAAAATTAAAGCACCATCTTCCACTATTCTCTACAAAAAGGTTTTGAAAAGATGACAGAATAAACGCCACAAAGCGCTTTATTAATAGACTTCTCATGTGTTAGGGGGGAGCCACAGATAGACAATTGCTCCTTGCAAAAAAAATCTGGGCCGGGAATATAGCTCAGTGGCACAAGGGCCTACCTGGCAAGCACAGGTCCTAAGTTCAATTCCCGGTAACAAAAAAATAAAAAATTTGCGGTCTCCCA